GAGGCTAGAGGGCGGGTGCAGAGCAACATGAGGGTGATGGAGGGGGAACGGAAAGGGCAAGTGGCACGGGGAGGGAGAGGGAGAGGGGGAGAGAGAGAGAGAGAGAGAGAGAGAGAGAGAGAGAGGGGAGGAGGAGGCGATGAATGGAAGAGAGTCAGCAGAGGGAGGGCCGAGCTTCAGGGCCCACACTTCTGACAGGTTCGGACCTGCCTCAGCCCCCATTTTCCAGCCCCAGGCAAGTAGAGGTGACTTCATGGGTGCGCGTACGTGTGTGTACGTTACCAAAACAAAACAAGGCAGCCTCCACAGGGGGTGGGGTGGGGGGTGGGGGGGGGGGGGGTTGACACATGGAGAATTGACAGTTTTACAGTATCAGTTTAGAAACAAAACAACAACAACAACAACAAAAAAGACTTCAGAGCCCATCAGTGTCATCAACAACTCCAACAGCAGCTGGGTCCAGAGGGGCTGCATAATCTGACAGTTCACAGAAAAATAAAACACAAAAAAACAAATACAGGCCTATTACAAAAACATTTTTTGGGCCTGTTTCTTTACATCCCCCGTCCTCCACTAAGCAGTGCATGGATGAGATTAGCAGACTCAGCAGATTTCCAGCAAAAACCTTCTGTCAGTGGTTACATCAATCACCATGACGTCACCCCCAAACGCACAAATCCCTCATACAACAACGGACCGGACAACATGCTGGGAATTTAAGACGGATTAGCGTCAGTTCGGGACCTGTTTCGTGTCACTTCTCTAAGCTTTGAGGCGGCTTTTCCCGCCCTCCTCCGCCGACCTCCCGCAATGAATGAAAGCCGAAACTTTTACGCCACAAATTTCAACCGTCAACAACCACCCGCGAGCGCCCTTACATCAGCGACTTACTGGCTCTGAATTCTTCCATATTTGTCCGATGACTCATGACCCCGTCATCGAACCGGGTCGGGGGTGTGGGGTGGGGAGGGAGGGAGGGGACCGGTCGACGCAGGTTCGGAGCCGCGAGAAGCCCACGACCCGG